GCGATTCCACGGCTTAACAAAAAACATTTGACGTTTGACGAAAAACACGTAACTTTCATAAACTTTGCTCTCTTATATATTTTTGTATGGTTACGCTAGCGCCTTGAGCTTTTTTGCATAAGTTAGTCTTACTCAATCTCTTTCCAACCATATATAGAAAGTATTATGTTTTGTATGGCTTCATTTATATATTGTCCATATCTTAAGACCACTTTTCATAAAAAAACTTGCCGCGGGAACGATTTTTTAAAACGAAGCTTTTAAAACGAAGATGGATTCCGTAGTACTTAAACATATCTATTTTTTATGAAACTTTCCATATTTATTAAGAAAAGGACGAGGAATCTAATGCAATCTGGACGCTTTGAACTTTTATACAAAAAATTTTAGTTCTCAGCGTTTAAAAACTTCAAGATTGATTTATATGAAAAAAAAGTGTTTTTGAAAAACGTCCAGGTGGAAATGGCAAGTTTAGCCTTTCTTCTATTTATAACAAGTATTTATTTAAGTTTACCTAAAGAATTGGTACTAAGGAATTCCATATATATAAATTATGTGTATATATATGCTTTTCTTCGCGTAATTTACGACGTTATTTGTTTATATATTATTTGTTTGTTTTGGTCAAATTATGTAAATTAAATTGAAAGTGAAAATATAACTTTTAAAATTTTAATGAAATGGAAATAAATATTTTACTTCTTCCCTGGTATAAGCTCTGCAAAAAAACTTACTTACTGATATGTCTAAGATATTTCTCCTGACAAGGAAAACTACGAGAATGATCTTAAAAAGGAAAAATGACGAGAAGGAAACTTATTTTTTCTTTCAAATCTTTGATGACAGATCGCACTATTGTTAATCCAAATTTTTTTCCCCAATTTAAACATTGAAGAGAAGCAATTTTGCCTTTTGTTGTTGAAAACTATGATCAGCTTCCTTTGAATAAAAAAATAAAAATTTCTCAAATGCATCATTTTTTTGTGGCTTACACGTTATTCACAATCTAGGAATATATGCAAAAAAAGCGATAATAGAGTGGGAAAAAGTAGTTGAGCAAGAAGGTAGTATGCATGGTGGTTTTAAAAGTTCTCAAAACTCTGGCACCTTTGATATTTTGTATGAACTTTCAAAACTTACAAGCTATCGGCATGGTGATCAGCGAAATGGAAAAGCTGATGAATGGATGGCATTTTTGCGTAAAAAGATTTCAAAAAATTTTATGGTTTCATTTCTGCATCATCGCTTTAATATTATATTTGTACTTGGTGGAGCAACGTATTATCAAAAAGACTACCTTAAAGAATTTGTTTTCAATCTTGGTGGTTCAAATTTTCTTCATGAGTCAATTAAGCATGATATTGACAACATCATTTTTCATGCTTTAACTAGGGCTCTGGGAATTTTTAATAAATTGATATCAGGACCTCTTTTTCGTATTATTGAAGAGGGGGGTCATATTTTCTCTTTAAATACTACTTGATCGCAAATGTTCAATTATTTTGTTTCTTATTCTTCTGATGCATCAAAAATGTTAAGTGGTTCTAAATTTTATGATGTAAAATATCTCACCAAGGATGAAGTGTTTGATAATTTATTTTCTAATTGTTATGACCCACTTTTGGATGCCTTAACACAAGAATGTCTTGAAGTTATATGTTGCACATGTTCAATTATGATTCAGAGTCAGTTAAGAGACCAATTGCCTGGAGGAAAAATTACAATCCGGATGATGATGTGCTTGAAGAAACTCAAAACTGCCCACGTACTAATGCTGTGTCTAAACGTGACTTTGCTTCCTAATGACCGCAGGTTAAAAATGAAACCTAACATGACAACTGTAGCTGCAGCTGGTGTTATCATGTTTATCAACAACAAAACAGCTGATTGGATAAATGGAAAATCACAGGAAGAAATTGAAAGGCTAGTTTTACTTGCAAGGCGAAATAGAAAAAGGTATATCAGAAAGTACAGAGAGAAAAAGGCAAATATATTGCAGTACAAAATTGATGAAATAGACAAGCGCAACTTAGAAAAAGAAATAATGAAACAAAAGGGGAGTATTACAAAAAATTTGGTATTGATAAATTAAAAAACAATCTATTGTTAATTTTTAAATTTTTAAAAGACGTTCCTGAACAACGCGCAACTGCAATAAAATGTTCAGTTATCAGACAGATTAATGAAAGACAAGAAATGTTAATAACATTAAAAAAAATCAGATTAGAGGGTGATGCTAGGTTAATTATGGACACTGGAAGTGAAATAAGAACAGACACATCAAAGGGAGGGGTTCCAAAGTTTTTAGGAAAAAGAATAATGGCAAGGATGTATGGTATTCAGAGCTCGTAGTAAGTGTTCTAGACGACAATGAATTTGATGAAGAGTGTGAGTTTCAGATACTATATGATGGATATGAAGATAAGTATGACATTGAGTTGGTCAAAGAGTGGAGGATGACATGTGTTGTGGTAGAGGGAAAAGCTGATGGTTATGTGGAGGGCGAAGTTTGTAAAACCAAAAATGCAGTAAATATCATTTTTGACACAATGGAGATTTAATTTATTGTATATATGTTTGTTATTATTCTTCTTATTAATAATATTATTGTTATTATTTTTATTGTCATTCAATTTAATGTGTTCTTGTATGTGTTCTGTTTGGTCATCTAGAGCGGTGTTGGCGCACCGACAATTCTTTACATGTATATTTGTTTTCTATTGAACATCTGCCGTTATGGTGACATACCCGTAAGTCATGCTTTCTATTTTTGTGCTGGCATACCTGTAAATATATGTATCCTTGTGTTTACATTTTTTTGTGTTTGCATGTATGTTTTTGTAGGTGTGTCTGCAATTTTTTGCATGTTTGTTTTTACTCACTTGTTAGTCACTATATGCATGTTTGTGTTTATGTATCTGTTAGTCATTATGTGTATGTTTGTGTTCTGTTAGACCTCTGGAGCGGTGTTGACACACCCGTAAGTCACTATATGTATGTTTGTGTTTATATACCTGTTACTCATGTGTATGTTTGTGTTCTGATGGACCTCTGGAGCGGTGTTGACGCACCTTTAAGTCATTAAATGTATGTTTGTGTATACGTATCCGTTAGTCATTATGTGTATGTTTGTGTTCTGTTAGACCTCTGGAGCGGTGTTGACACACCCGTAAGTCATTATATGTATGTTTGTATTTATGTAGCCATTAGTCATTATGTGTATCTTTGTGTTTATGTAATTCATTATATGTATCTTACTCTTCTGTTGGAACTGTGAAATGGCTATAATTTCATTTGATAATGCAGGTTATTCATTTTGATCAAGTTTTTGTTTTTTTTATTTATGTTTGTGTTCTATTGGTCTTGTGGCACAGCGTTGAAACAACAGTAAGTCATTGTATGTATATTTGTGAGTTGCTCCAACTAGGCTGCAAGCAATCATTGTAGGAGTTGAAAGTTACTGGAAGAGAAAAGATGAAGTTTGTAGAGTAAAATAACAATTGACAGATGACTTAAAAGATTGCAAATTATAAAGGAAGCGAATTCCAAAGAACTGATGTTTGAGGAAAAAAATAGAAAAATGAGAGTTTTTGGAGCACTTAGAAACAGTCACAAGAGAATAAATTTTTGTAGATAAACAAGGGACGCTAGCTCTTTAGAGCAGTGCCCATATGTGTAGAAAAGAGAAAGAGAAGCACCATTACAACGATGTGATAATGGTTGGAGGCTTACAATGCATTTTTGCTCCTTGTCTAAAAGAGAAAGGGCATCATTAGAATATCTGTGTGTTGCGTGATTGTGATGTTATTGTTGTGATGTTGTTTCGTTACTGAAACTACTTCTAATCATTCACTAAAAGTCAAGAGATAAATTTTAGACTTGACAATATTTTTTGTTTTAATGTTGTTTTCATTTTTTCATCTTAGGTGTTGTCGATAGTTCACCAATCTCAAAAAATAAGTTTCTTATTTTATATTTATTTAAGTTTAATTCCTAATTTATAACTTTTTTTAATTTTTAAAATGAATTAACAAATATATATTTTTTAATTATTGTGTATCTAATGTTATTTAATGTATTATTGTATGTATTTAGATGTATTGTTCTTAATAATAATTTTATTACAATTTTAGGTAGAGTTCTGCTGTTACTTCTACTATTACTGTTGTAAGTACTCATTATTTTTAAAAGACAAGGTAAATAAAAAAAAACGCTTCAGTCTGTAAAATTAACAATTCTGGATAATTTTGACAGATGTAAAAAAAATTATGGCATTTAATTTTTTTATAGTTCACGTGTTCAAATTATAAGACTAAAATTTTTTTCTCGTTTTTTTTTAATTTTTATAAAAATATTACAGATATAACGTTCGTAAATATAAAAAAAACTAGTGATGTGCCGGGTACCCGGTTCGGACCCGGAGACCCGGTAATTCGGCAGTTTTACCGGGTACCCGGTATCGGCCATTTTGTTGCAGTACCCGGCACCGGGTATCTTCAAATTGATTTTTCCTTTAGTTAAACTTTAATCATTAAACTTCTTGATATAAGTCTAAGAGTGTTATGTAGTCGATAACCACAAAGTTCTATTAACTTTAAACAATCTCACTTAAAATAATTTTTAATACACTTTTGCAAAAAAAATTTATACGGATACAAAAACTGTAATGCTAAATGAAATAATTCAAGAATACGAATAAAAAGAATGGGAAACAAAGTTTTAGAATAGCTTCTTTTTATTCTGTTAGAACACAAGATAAATTTTAGCAATTTAGTTTTGAATGAAACGCTTATAATGCTTTCGAACGCTGATAGACTTTTCATTCGTATCAAGCAAAAATCATAAAAGTAGAGATATAAGGTAAATATTATACACATTTTTTATATTTTAATTTCGAGCGTATTATTAAAAAAATTATCGTTTCATATAAAATAAACGAAAACTTTGATATCAAAACTAGTTTCATTATCTTTATAGAAATTTTATTTGAAAGAAAAGTTATGGCAAAAAAAAGTATAGCGTGGAAGTTCTTTGATATAAGCACGACTCCTCATATGAGTAAGTACAAACTATGTGATTGTTTAATTACGAGAGGAGGAAAATCTTTCAAGTCTTATGGAACTACAGCAATGGTAAAACATTTGCGTTTAAAGCATTCCAAAGAGTTTGAACTTGCGGAAGAAAAAAAAAAGGTTCAATCGTTGCCGCCTATTTCTGAAGCCTCAGTTGCTTCTACCACCAATATAGTACAAAGTAACATTATTCAGGCTTTACAAAAAAAAAAACAGTGGAATATTGATGACCACAGATCTATTCGAATCCATAAAATAATAGGAAAACCTATTACATTGGATATTCAGCCATTTTCTATTGTTGAAGATACGGGGTTTAATGAACTGATTAAAGATGCTTACCCCAATTACAAATTACCATGTAGAACATATTTCAGCCAAAACGTAATCCCTAGCATGTATGATGAACTTTTTAAAGATATAAAAATAAAAATCTCCGCGGCAAACTATTTGTCTCTGACGACAGATATTTGGACAGCAGATACTGCAAAAATCGCATTTTTAAGCATTACTGGACATTGGATAGATCTAACTAAATTTTCCCAAGAAACTGCTGTTCTTCGAGTAATTCATTTTCCCGAAAAGCACACAGGTGTTCATATAAAAGAGTATTTACAAAAAAGTTTAGAAACTTTTGAAATCCCGTTAAGCAAAATTCATCTTATTGTTACCGATAATGCAAGCAATATGAAGGCTGCAGTAAAAAACAGTGGAATGTCATCAATTCCATGCTTTATCCATACTTTGCAGCTATGTATTCATGACTCTATATTTAGCCAAGAAATCATCAAGGAAATTTTAACTTTATGCAGAGGAATAACGACACATTTTAATCATTCACCAATAGCATGTGCAAAATTAAAATCAATTCAGCAGCAGTTAAGTACTGTACCTCACAAAATGAAACAAGATGTTCCAACTCGCTGGAACAGTTCATTTGAAATGCTACAAAGAACGTTTGAACAAAAAGTTCCTTTGGCCACCTATGCAGCAGAATATGATGAAATTAAACTTCCTACTAACTATCAATGGGGAATAGTCGAAAAACTTGTTCACATTCTTGCTCCATTTGAAAACTTAACAAAAAAATGTGGTAGGAGGGACGAAACTTGCGCACAAATTATACCATCTGTTCTTGCATTAAAAGTTTTATTACAAAAAGCTTCATCAAGTGATATATACGCTGGGATTATGACGATGATTGATGAACTAATAAAATCTGTTACTAAAAGACTTGATAAATTTTTGCTTAATAAAATGTTATGTGTATCAACATTTTTGGATCCACGATATAAATTACTTTATCAACATGCAGATGAAAATGTTATTAAGGAGTGGGTTGAAGAAGCATGAAAAGAAATGCAAGGAGCGCAAGATGTTGTTGACTCTGACTCCGACAATGCTCCAATAGTAAAAGCTCCAGCATCTAATGGATTCATTGGTTTGATGATTGTTTTAAAGATGTAGCTTCTATGAGAACCGGAAGAAAGCAAAGTGAAAGACGTTCCGAGGCAGAAAGAGAATTAGTAGATATTGAAGTTGTTACCACTGACATAATTAAAAAGCAAACAATATTAAAGTCTGCAATTACTCAAGAAATAGACAACTACTTATCTCTGCCTCTTTTAGAAAATAAAAGTTCTCCGTTTTTGTGGTGGAGTAAATGTGGAATGCAATTTGAAAAACTAAAAAAGATGGCATTAAAATATCTTACAGCACCTCCGTCATCAATAGAAAGTGAAAGGTTATTTAGTGCTGGTGGGGACATATACGAAGCAACAAGGAGCAAACTAAAAGCAGATAACGGAGAATACCTAATGTTTGTGCATTACAATCAAAGTTAATAAAACAATTAAAATAAGATACAGCAAATAAGTGTTGTTTAAGTTCTTTTTATTTGTTTTATTTTATTGACTGTACAGTCGAGAAGGTCTACCTTTTTTTGCAATTCTTTATATTTCTTAATCTTTTGCTTTCCATAATATAACTTTCAATGGCGGAACTTTAAATTTTGCCCCTTTCCCCACAAAATATTATTTAGGCCCGCTCCACCAGGAAAGAAAAATAATTTTAAACTAAATATAGTTGTTAAAAAACTGTTGTACAACTTTTTAAAATAGTTAGGCTCTGCAACTCAGGCCCCTTACCCTGCATTGCGGGGTTTTGCTAAATAGTACGTCGGCCACATAACTTTTTGTTAGTTAGCGTAAAAAGCGTATTTTGTGTGAATAGTTCAGCCCTAGAGATTTCACAAATTTTTATTCCAACTTTTAAAAAATGGACTCGGTGCCGAGTACCCGGACTCGACCCAGTTTTTTCAGCCGGGTACCCGGAATCGGAGACTCGGCATAAACTGGTTTCGGCACATCTCTAAAAAAAACCCTAATTAATACTTGGTATGGAGCCCCTTGGCTTTAATAAGCATATTAATGCGGCTCGGCATGCTTTCTACCAGAGTTTTACAAATGTTTTTGATGTTTTGGTCTTGATGCCATATTTGTATCAGTTTTTCGATGAGTTGCATTTTAGTGGTAATTATTTCTTTCTTGATCTTTTTCTTTACAACAGCCCACAAATTTTCAATGGGGTTCATGTCGGGACTATTTCCTGGCCACGGCAATGTCTTGATTCTGCTCTGCTGAAGAAATTCTGTCACTTTTTGGCTTTATGACACGGAGCCCCATCGTGCATAAAAATTACATCTCTATCTGGAAACCATGTCTTAATTTGGGGCATTAACCTATTTTGTAGCACTTTAATATATTGTGCATGATTCATGGTGCCTTCTACGATGAACAACATTCCCGGTCCGTGTATTGACATGACACTCCACACCATAACAGACGTTGGATGCTTGACACTCTGGCTAACACACTCTGCCTTGAACTCTACTCCTGGTCTTCTTAAAACATATTGGCTCTGTTCTTCCACCACCATAAAGATGGATTCATCGCTAAAACATACCTGGATATAATAAATATGCAAATGAGTACACAGAAACACTTTGCAAAAAATTACAGATAAAATTTGAGAGATTCTTTAGAAAAAAAAATGCCTAAATTTTTTTAGAACTCATCTTCATATTTAAAATAAATTTTGATTTCAAATGTTAAGTGAAAACTCTCAAAATGACTTTGAATACAATTTTTGCATACATTTTACCTTACTCCAGTCATAGATAGATATGTTTTCATGAATTTTAGCCCATTCTAGCCTCTTTTTAGCCATCGCTAGTGTAACCTTTTGTTTTTTTCGTGGACGACGACTTTTCAAACCACTTTCAAAAAGCCTTCTCCGAACAGTAACTGGAGAAACATCGACTCCTGCTTCATTAAGTTGTTGACACAACACCTTAGATGTGACTCTTCTGTTATTAAGTGCCATTTTAATCAGATTTCTTTGTGTCCTTGGGGCTATTTTTCTTTTACGACCACAATTTCCTATTCTGTGGTGCTCATATGGCTCTTGATTATCAACACATTTTTTTATTCTGCTTACTGTTTTCTGACTTACACCAACTTTTAAAGCTATTTGAGTTTGTGTGTAAACCTTTTCACCCAACAAAGTTTTTACAGCAGAATATTTTTTTGGGGAAATATCATTTTTTTTGCCCATTGTTAAAATAAAATAATTTCACCAGTTTTACTGTATAATTCCTAAACAAAAACAATTTATTTGTATATTCGAATTAAGTTTTTATACATAAAGTAGTTTTGTAAAGAAAATAAATTAAAAGTAATTAAAAGTACTTTAAAATGACACCCAAACAACTGCTGCAACGTTTTGCTACTAAAGGAAAAAAAACATGCGCTGACTTGCCTCCCAATATTGAAAACGCTCTAACAAAAAAAAAGTGACGTTGCCAAATATAAAAAGTATGTAAAAACATAAGAAAAATGTCATATTTTATACTTAAAATCTTTTAACTGTGATACTTGTGAAAATGTAATAGATATTTGAACTCAATCACGGAAAATAATTTTCTTAAATCTATAGTCTAATAATTTGAACACGTCTGTATGTATCTCTATCAAAAATTTCAAGTCAATGTAATCAAGTCAAATGTATCAAGTATCAATGTATTCAATCAAATCAGAATCAAGTATCAATGTATTCAATCAAATCAGAATTCAATGTATTCAGAAATTCAAGAAATTTAATGTTTCAAGAAGTCAATGTATTCATTCAAGATGTAATGTAAATCATTCAAGAAATCAATGTATTTTTCAGAAATCAATGTATTCAATCAAATCAGAATCAAGTATCAATGTATTCAAGTCAAGTGTAAATTGGAAATTATCAAATATATTAAAAGTCATATTGCCCAATTGTTCTGTGCAACCGTATACCTGTGTAATCTACTGACCGGTCTGTACATTGTGCTATAATTTCAAAATGTTATATTTTCAGGATTCTTTTGTGCACATTTCCATATTGTAACCATATTGTGCACCATATTGTAACCATATTGTGCACATTTCCATATTGTAAAGATTCTTTTGTGCACATTTCCATATTGTAACCCTAATTTTTGTTTATCATTAAATTATTATATAACTAAAAACACTTCAGTCTGTAAAATAGACAATTCTGTATGATCCCAACAGATTCAATAAAAACTGGATCACTATTTTAAATTTCAAGTCAAATGTAATAACTGTTTAAATATATCAAATATATTTAAGGTCGATATACCCAATTGGTTAGTGCATCCTTTTTTCTGTAATTTAATGACCGGTCTGTAATTTATGCAACAATTTAACTGACAGGTCTAAAAATTATGCAATGGTTTTTAAATGATGTATTTTTCGGTTTCCTTGATTTTGTTATGCATATTTGCATAGTGCAACCATAATTTGTTTCATCATTACACAGTTAAATTTAAAGAAAACCCTTTAGTCTGTAACCCTTTCAGTCTGTAAAATAAACAATTCTAGATAATCCTGACAGATTTAAATAAAAACTGGATCCTTATTTAATATTTCAAGTCAAATGTGATATTGGTTCAAAAATATTAAAAATTTTAAAATTACTAATTATTTATTAAACCAAGGAATGACAATTGCTGTGTTAATAATTGAAAGTGTTTTAACCAAAACCATTTTGTGAAATATTGAAAAACGAATAAATGAAAAAATTTTAAAAATTTTAAGCCTAGATAATATGGAAAAATTTCTTCACTGTCAGGACCATTTAATTAAAACTAATTTGACTGAGAAAAATAAAGCTTGCAATAATGTTAATCCATTTCAAGTAAATAATTACATCAGAAACTCAAGATCAAAGCAATAACAAAAATGGATTGTAGAATAAAATAAAAAACTGCATCAAGTTTTGGTAGATTTATAAACCGTAGAAACAATACTCCTCCAAATTCATTGTTAAAATAGCTTATAAGACACTGTGATAGTAGTTTACAATCACAAGCTTGTTGGTGGAGTATTGAAAATAAAGATATTGCTCATGAAAAGTGTAAAGTAAAAGTTAACTATAATGCTAAAAAATGCGATCTTGTTATAGATCCTAAATGCCATGGCTGGTTCTAGCCCTGATGGGTTGTGATTAACTAAAACAGCTGCAAGATAACTGAATAATTTTGCAGCTGTATAATACATTAATCTTGTTCCAATTAAACTTTTTGTACGGAAATAGTAATAGACAACAAAAACTAAAAAACATTTACTTTACTAATGTCAAGATGACTTAAACAGAAAAGAGCGAAATTGACTTTGTTCTAAAAAAAGATAAAGAATTTTTTTGTGTAATCAATTAAATTTGAAAATGAAAGCTGGTTCTATAAGAACTTACCTTGTTTAAATACATTTTATTTTCAGTTTTTGATTGAAAATATTTAATAATAAATTAATATTTTTTTTATTTCTAAATATTTTCAATATTTTCTTTGCTTGGAATTACAACAAAAAAATAAATTTTCATGTTTTACTTATTTGCTGGAACATTAGGTACAAACATGCAAATCCCGTTTTTGTTTTTCATTGTTTGGTGCATGTTTGTTATCTATTCTTCGTAGTCTTATATAGTACAAATTTTATTCTAATAATAAAATTTGAACTTAAAAATTTATAAGGTGTGAAATAAAATACACAAAAGTCTATTGGGACAACAAAAATTTAGCATGCAAAAACTGCATCATCAATTTCATCAGATTTTATAACATTATATTGCTTTTTTCCGGTTATATTTTCGGGTTTTAATTTTTACGGACATCTATAAAGTACATACATGCAAGTTAAAGTATTTATTTATACTAGCAGTAAGCAACCCGTAGTACGCGTTGTTCGTAAATAAAATTAAAAAAAAAAAACCGCGTATAGAAAAGCCTAGAAACTACTTTGAAATAGAAAAGCCTAGAGAATGACGTAACTCGACTAAGAATTATTATCTAAAATTAGCGTATTCATATTATCAAATAATAACGTGACTTCTGCATATTTCGGACATATTGTTATTTTGGATGCGTACTAAAAAATCAAATTTTAACGTTGAAAGTTTAAAATTTTAGATTCTTTTGTTTCTTTAATATTAGGGAAACAATATTCTTTCATAATTTATTTTACTATTATTTTTGAAATCAAACGCATTCAATGTGTTATTGTAATAAAACTTCTTGTTGAAATCTTGCAATCAAAAAATAGGCGACCATGAGTGGCTACAATAATTTTTTTCTCTGGAATTTTCTTATGCTCATTCAAACAAAAATTTGAGTTTTTTTATTAAAAATCCTTACCGTTAAAACTTTAAAAAAGCTAAAACTTTGAATTTGCAAAATTTTGGTGAATTCGGATTTTCTGTATATTGTAGTATCTATACATACTTATCTATTAAGTATCTATACATATTTAACTATACATATAGAATAATATTAAAGTACATAATAGAACTAGAACTAGACGAAGCAACTTTTAAATTTAAAAAAATGGTTTTGAGGTTCTTGTTTGATTTATTAATGATATCCCAGTTAACACTTAGACGTCCGCTGGACGTCAAAGTCGACGTTCGGACGAACGGACGTCCAAGACGACGTTCGGACGAACGGACGTCTGTTTTCAACGTCTCAAGTCCAAATGCAACATGTTTTGTCCCTCCATTTTAGTCCTTAATAGACGTCAACTTTACACTAAAACTGTTAAGTATTTAAAGTATTACAGACGTTTACAAGACGTATTTGGACTTCCATATTACACGAAAAAACGTACACACCCTTACAAATCTTTACTGTTACGACAAACATGTTTTTGCACTAAGTAAGCAGATAGAGTGCGATTTAAAGGAACAAAAATAAAAAGATAAAATCGATTTATTGGTAGAGCATCTGTAACAATAAATATCAAGTCTTTCGATATCGCGTTCTTCGAAACCGCCTTTGTCAGTAGTAAGGGCGGCTGAAACAAAAAGTATAACAAATTTGTATCAATGCGCGCGCGTGTATATATATATATATATATATATATATATATATATGTAAATGATAAAAATAAAGCATGAAAATAATTGACAAAAACTTACTTTTTAAACATTAGTAAAGTCCTGTACATAGAAACTTTTGCTTTCCTTTAAGCCCATTTTTGCTAAAACAAATATGCACGCTACGCTCTAATAAAACAATCTAACACGTTCTTAAAAACTCTTCTTAAATTTGGTCCGTAAATAATAAACAGTGAATAATAAAAATTATATAAAATAAGTTAATAATAATAAATTATATTTTATATAATAAATTATATAAAAATAAATTAAGTTAATTAATAAATAAGTAAATAAATTATATAAAATAAGTTTTAAAAATTTCAAACTGCTTAAATTTTTTATTACATCATAGAAAAATTGAACAGACAATGTTGCGTCAGCTAATTAAAATTAGAGTAAAAAACTATCTATCATGACACAAGTTAAAGATACGGTGCTTAAGAATACGGTGCCTAAGAAGAAAATGTTGTTCAATAAAAATTATTTAAAAATAAGAACAGCACAGTACCAAACAGTTTTGGAAACGATTGAAATAAAATAAAAATACCTTTAGTAACCTGGCAACTTTACTAAAGTTAAATCTTCTTTCTTCTTCACCAAACTACTTTAATGAATTTAGTGGCTTCATAATTACATCTGCTTCATTTGTGTTATTTAATAATCCGGTTCCACCGACAAAATTGCTTTCTCGTAAATCCATGGTTATAACAAAGAATAGTTTGAAGCAAACAATAGAGTTTTGTTTTAACTCTTTCATACTGTTTTTTCTCGTTAACGAACTTCCAAACCTGCACAAAAAGATTGATGTGGTTAGCGTTTGCCTGTTATTTTACTAAGTTGTATTTGTGTTTTGATTTTAATTTTCTTGATAAGCCTGGAAAAAATTGTACAATATTTGGTTGTTCAACTTCAAGAAGACACAACGGTATCATTATTTTTACAGTTCCTACTCCAACTAATGATGCAAATAAGAAATGGAGTAATAACCTTCATAACTAGAGACAGAGTCATCGATGATTCTTTGAAAAAACGAATTGATTCTTTTAATCTTTGTATTTGTGAGCTTCACTTTATTGATGATCAATTTTGGGTTTACTCATCTCGATATTAAAGATATTAAAGAATGGAGCATTGCCGACCCTAAATCTTCCAAAGAAAAGTAATCCATCGCAGCGAAGTTCGCTGCAATGGATTACTTTTGATGGATACTGGATGATGGATTACCGCGATGAATAAAACGCGAGGAATTTTATCCATCGCATAGTTTGAGTGAGGACTCAATTAGAACTGTAGGATCTAGTTTTGAAGAAACTTGTGTTGTTTGTTACAAAAAATAATCTCGCATGTTAGAAAAAGATCCTGAATTATATTGTTTACTTTCCACAAACCCTATCTATCTCTAATATTTACAAGTGCCTGAGTATTATCTTCCATAACCCTGCAGCGCAGTAAAATTGAAACACTGTTGGCTATACTTACAATTTTTACTACTTTAAAATTAAGTATAAAATCTCTGAAATATATATCCAATAAGATATTGTAAACTCTTTTTCTCAATATCAGTTATTTCTTGAGATGTACCTACAGATTTAATTATATTTGGGTTTATATCAGAGAGATTATTTAATATAATGGCAGGCATTTCAGTGAGTAGTGTATCGCTTAAAGTTATATCACTGAAGTTATATCACTGAAGCTTGTAGACATTCGCTCAGCAGTCGATAATACTCTTGTAAAATAAATCACTATTGCCTTTAAATTTTTCTGTTATCGGATTTAATTTTTCCTAAATATGTTCAGCATCATCTATTGAATAACTAAATTGCTGGGATTAGAAATTTTTTCTTATATCAAATGGCAGGCACATGTCCATTTCCAATAAACTAGCATATCCTTTAACTATGCTTTTCAGCTTTAGCGGTTACAATTCTCCGTATCAGAATTTTTTAAAAAGCATTTTTCAAAACATTCTAAAATATGCTTCCATCCTATATGTCTTTTTAAACCTCTAATTGTTTAGTATAGTTTAGGACAAGCGCATGCATTCTGTTTGACATTACTTCTATGAATATCAGAAACAACGGAACTTATATCTGCAACTAAGTTAATGTAATCATTCCAAAATCCTTCTTTCAACCACGTCAAACAAACACTAAAGTTTGCCCTTATTTTAAACTCGTGTAGGTTCGCCGAGTCGTCGTGTAGTATTCAAGTTAAAATCCGAAAACAATGGAAATGGTCCGTGTTTCCAGACTATGTATTTTTATGACTATGGTAAATCTAAGCGATCTATAATCATTTTTTGATTTTCATATACCAGTGTGAATTCATTAGACATTTCGTTGAACATCGCACACTGAAATTCTAATAATCATTTAATTATTGCAATATACTACATTGTATAATGAACATTTAAATAATGGCCAATACACTATTTATACTGACAATGACCTAATAAACTATTTATACTGACAATAAATCACGTTTAATTTTGAATTTTATAAAAAAAAACAAAAAAAAAATATTGCAATGTGGTTTCATATAAACGCAACAACCTTACAAAATCGTTTTATACAGCTTTTTTAGTTAGAGCTTTTAAGTTTAGGTTTTTGAAAATTCTTAAAAAAATGTTGCCAGTATGAACAATAAATACTTGTCAAGAATATAAAAAGAATGTATTACAACTGGTTAGCAGACGTTAACATAACTCTAAAGTAGGTCGATGTTTTCGGCAGCCGTTAACTTTTCGAGTTTATTTAAAACAGCCAATAATTGCACGAGGAAACGTAATATTAAATACTAAGGATTATTAAAGCAAACAAAAACAAAAATTATGGATTTATTTATGTATGGCGAAAGTTCAAATTTCAGCAGTTCTAATGAAATAAGTTCTGATGAAGAAAGCGGAAATATAAAAGGTAACGTAATATATAAACATTTTCAGTTTAACAAATGCAAAACATATTACATTTTTTTTTTGCTTATAACAATGTTATAAACAAAATAAATGCAATAAATAATTATATAATTATTAAAATATTTTTTAATTTAGAAGTCTATGCGCAAAGTTTGAGTATCATTGAAAATAATTGTTCACCTACACGTGATATTAATTATGAAATGTTTTTAGTCGCTGTTACTGTACAAAAACTGCCAGTTTTTTTCTAATTTCTTCTATAGGAAAAAAAAAAATGGTGTCAGTAGCATATACAGCTACATTGTTTAAATGAACAACACAAGAACAACCAAAACAAAAAATTGTTGTCTTACAGATTTTTTTTTTTGCAATTGTTTGTGATTTAAAATTATTATCTGAAGTTTAAAATTAGTTAGTTTTTTGTAAGATGAACAGAGTTTTTCTAGCAGTTAACAGTTAAATTGACAGTATATTTAAGTACTAGGTCTAGTACTTTATAGGCTTACTTTTTATACTAATATAGGCTTTTTTTTAAGCCTTAAAAATTAAACTTAGCAAATCAATAAATGTTGAAGCTGTCTCAATAAATATTGAATGTAGTTTTTTGAATTGCTGTTTTTTGTTCATTTTATTGATAATACACTTCTCTTATTTTATTTAAATTTCTTTACTTAAAATTCTTAAACACATTTATTAAAATTTTTACTAATGATATCACAAAACTTTACACAAAGGTTTGTGATATCATTTAGTGTGCCTTTTTTTTTTGTAAAAAATATTTAAAAAAGTTTTTATAGTCTAATAGTTTTTATAGTCTATAGTCTTTAATACTTCACTAAAAGTATACTGATCAATTTGATTTTAATTTTTATAGATGGACAAAAAAATTGATTTATCATTGTATTTCGCATGAAGAAGAATTGAACTGTGTCAAAAAATATTAGTTAGCAACTACAACAAGATTTGTTGTCTATAGTGTAGCCAAGGACTTTGGAATAACAGGTAAACTATAGTTTATAGTGATCTAGTTTTGAAAAAAAATCTTTTTGCATTGCACAAATAGTAGCAATATAAAAGCAATGATTTTGTGACATGTTTTTTTGACGTAAAATTACTTGCCTTAAATATGAAAATAGTTTTTCTAAATGCAAGATTAACATTATCATAATTAAAAATATTAAAAATGATAATCATTCTCATTTCGTCATTTGTTTTAAATTTATTTAATGTTTCTAAAAATCATAAGAGTTTATAACATTTTAAATGGTTTGTATGAACTATTTTGTGCTGATTAAATATATGCCAAAGTTAGCATTATACATATTATATATCTATAATGCAGAATAAAATGCTCTATTATATATATCTATATATACATATATATATATATATATATATATATACATATATATATATATATATACATATATACATATGTATATATTTATATACATATATATATATATACATATATATATATATATATATATATACATATATATATATATATATATATATATATATTTATATATACATATATATATATATATATATATATATATATATATATATATATATATATATATATATATATACATATATATATACATATATATATATATATATATATAAATATATATATATATATACATATACATATATATACATATATATACATATATATATATATATACTATATATATATATATATATATATATATATATATATATATATATATATATATATATATATATATATATATATATATATATATAATTATTCGGTAGTGGTGTAGTGGTAGAGCGCTCGCTTCAAAAACTAGTGGTTTTGTGTTCGATCCCTACCACGTCCCTGGTAGTACCGCGCTCAACTCGTTGCTCCGCGCAGCGGCCTTGTTCATCAAGGTTCGTGTTTCGGAGTTACAGTGTTGAGCGAGAGTTATAACCACAAATAAGTACCCTCCTTGTCTGTAGTGGCCTTGTTGGCCTTGAGGAGGTGAATAAAATATATGTATATATATATATAAGTATATATATGTTTTATTTTTTTAAGGTTGTTATAATATACTTATAATTAATTATAAGGTTGTTAATATATATAAGCAATAATATACTTATATATAATAATAAGGTTTTAATACTGAGGTTTTAATTAATATATATATATATATATATATATATATATATATATATATATATATATATATATATATATATATATATATATATATATATGTATATATATATATAAATATATATATATATATATATATATATATATATATATATATATATATATATATATATATATATATATAATAATAACAATAAAAATATACTTTTGTATAATAAATTTGTTTGTGTTGCTTTAAATAATTTTTTTATAAATTAATTAGTCACACTCCAAAAACTATATATATTTTTTTAATAGAAATAATGGCAAAAAATCACAATGTTCTATGGGAAGATTTTGCCATTCAGTATTCAGGCTTACCCCATATGGTTGTTGCCACAAAATTTTAGATTGTCACCATAATTTTAATAGGAATATTTCAACAAAAAACAGTTATAAAACAATGCCAAGGTTTCTTTTAGATGGATGATTACAGCTTTCAAAAAAATTATGTGATTCTGCAAGGTACAAAAATGTTTATGTGTCCAGCAAAGATAGTTATGAGAGAAATATTACAATTTCCTGATTTCAAGGTTTGAGTAACTAAATTATAGGTAACATGCCTTTTTAAATTTTGTTATGTATGGTGGTGTGACTTAAAGCAACCCTGAATTGGATTTAAGGGTCCCCTAAGGATAATGGAATGATATATCTTTCTAAAAATATGACTTTATTGAAACAGGATTAAGTTTTAGGTGTGTCATTAAACTTGTTTAACTAAGTCTCTCTATAAATTCAGTTTAGTCCTTATTGTTTTTGTAATATTGTTTCAACTCTAATTCTCTTACATTCAACTCTTGTTTTTTGTTACTTAGGTGCTCCTCAACCCAATCATCACCATCAATAGATTGTGAGATTGCACAAACATGTTTTCTAATGTTTCGCCAATAAGTAATCCACTCACTATAACAAAAGCATTACTACTTAGTTATAAAAAAAAAGTTTGTTAGAAGAAACACAGAGTATATGTTTTAAAAATCTAACAAATTTAATAAAAATACAGACTTTAAAAATATTATTTTAAAGTAGGTAAAAATATTATTTGCACTAACTCAGAAATTTTTAACATATTTGTTAAATTTCAAAATATTTATGCATAAAACTGAGGATAAATGGAGAATTTTTTTACATTTTAGGGAGATTTAGTCTTAAATGGCAACATCTTATACAAAAATGAAAAGAATTAAGGAGAAATTTTAAAAAGTAAATCATATTAAATAACAAATTGTCAAAAATGGTAAAAGATTTGTTCAAACAATATATACAGCTTTAGGAAATAAGATTTGCTTTATAATTAGTTATCATTAGGTAAAAAATAATAGTAAAACTAAGTAACATAAGTAAAAATCTTCAACACTCTGAAAGTGCCTAATACCCTTTTAGTTATTTTATTGACTTTTTTAAAATTACAACTAGTTTTGATTATTAGTTTTCAACATTAGTAACATTTCATGCGCACAAGAGTCAATTACTGAATGGATCGGACGTCCATGGATGTCTAAGTACAACAACGCAATAGATTAGACTTAATTGGAGTAGATTAGGCCATTATTTTCAATTATTAGACGAAACATTAACAGAACCGTATCAATTAAAGAAATTCACTTTGGCTTTGCAGTAGAAGCTATTAAAGTTCCACCACTTATTGCTTCCTAGTTTTAGGAGAAGGAGGAAACATTTTATAAGATTGCGAGGGAGTACCAGATAATTTATAGCTTTATTAATTAACTTCACTAATTATATAGCAAAAATAAATCAGATATCAGATATAATAAAATAATTCAATAAGAAAAAAAAAATCACTCAAAAAAAAAAACAGATTAATACCAGGAAAACATTCTAACTAAAGCCTATCA